CTGCGCCGCCTCGAGGGCCGCCGCGTGCCCCCGCTGCCCGAGGGCGTCGTCGAGGAGGCCGTCACGAGCGAGGCCTGGGTGCTCCGCCGCGCGCTGGGCTCCCGGCCCGCCCTGCAGCCCGAGGGCAAGTTTGACTACAGCCTGAGCAGGGGCACCGAGGCCATTTCCCAGCGCGCGCGCTGATCTACTGGTGCGGTGTCTGGTGTGGGCGTCAGTCACGTCGGGCCTGTAGTCTCGTCTTTTTGCACGTCTGGCCGCGCGGCCATGTAAACCGTCTTGTATTCTATTGTCTATCCATCTACGGGACACCACGTCTGTCCCCTGTGTGTAATAATCCCGAGCCCCAGTTTTTAGCGCGGCCATGTAAACCGTGTTGTAGTCCATCTTGTATCCATCCGCAGGACACCACGTCCGTCCCGTGTGTGTGGAAATTCCGAGCCCCGGGTTTTCAGCGCCGCCATGTAAACCGTGTATAGTCCATCATGTGTAATGTACCCATCTATACCGCAGACCGCGCAACCCTGTACAGTCCATCATGTATAATGTATCCATCCTAGCGCAGACAGTGCAGCCGTGTACATCCCCACGTACATCAAGCACAAAGTCCCGAGTCCCTCGCCCGTCCCGTCTACCCCGTCTTAAAATGGTACAGGTTCTCGTCCACAATCTCCCAGCTCAGATCGATGTGGCCCGCCGCGCAGGCCTGCGGCCCCAACTCGCTCAGGCCGGTGTAGCTAAAGTCCAGGCCCGGGGCGCCCTCGGAATTCCACCCCCCGTCCGGGTGTCCGATGCCGCAGCGCTCGCAGCCGTCGCCGATGAAGAACGGCAGCGGGCTCCGGACGCCGTTGACCGTCACCACGACGCGCTTGCCGCAGTACTTGTCCAGGTGGCCCCGGAGCTGGGTGTTGTTCATGGCCACGAGGTAGTTTGAGCGCACGTCGTTGAGCGGCAGGAAGTCCGTGAAGGAGCACATGACGGGGCCCTGGTTGTCCTTGTGGAAGTCCGAGTTGCACGCCTGCAGCTGCTCAACGTCGTAGTAGTAGGTGCCGTAGCCGCGGCCGCTGCTGATGAGGGCGGCGCCCGAGACGGTGCTTGCGAAGAGAAGGGAGAGCTTCATTTTTGAGAAGGGGGCAACGTGTAGCTTCGTGTAGAGTAATCAATCAAGAGATTGGGGTGGGATATTTATAGAGAAGTTGCCGCGTTGCCGTGTTCACGTATTGCCTTGGATGGTGCGAATCGATTCAAGTTTGTGCGGACACGACGATAAGCAGGTGATGTCTGGGAGCGGACAAGACCGAGGGAAGAGGAGGATCAGGCCAAATATATAGAGGGCCCTGATCAAAGGGCATGGCTGTAATTCATGGTCCGTCCGTGTGTGGCTATTCTGGGCTTTCAGCGGCACAAAGTCAATGGGTGTAAGTTTGCTTCCACGATAGCGCTGGCTGAAGCTATCTCGAGATAACTTTAGCTAGCGGGCCGCGAAACAGCACCAATTTCGCTGGTGTGTCTGACGCGTTACAATACGCAGATAGTTTAAGTTTTTAGGCTTTCAATTGTTCTTGGCTTAGTACAGCTTAATACTACATTACGAGATGTTATGCCCGCACGATACTTGTATCTTGTATTATTATTTGATATAAGAGGGAAACCAAAAAAGTTTACCAAGTTAGTAATGAATGATCCCTCCAGCGGACAAGCCCGAAAGGAAGCCGCGTCGGCTCACGATGCATCTCATCTTGGGATTCGCCCAAAGTGGCATCGCGCCGCAGGATGGCGACGGACGGCATGTACGGAGTAGCACCGACGGAATAGGTTTGGCCGAGGGGTTTCCGGGGCGCGCGGCGCTGGAGGAATCGGAATCCACACTCTGGGCCTTGCTATCCTCGGTTGTTGTTTGGATTCTTCTGATTCTTCAAGCGAGTTTGTCTTGTCCAGCAACCATGGCTTGCAGCCGGGGCGCTCCGGAGAGTTGACGCGGACAAGTTGAAGCGTGTAGGTAGACGGGGGCACGGCACGGTTATGCGGCCACTTTGAAACTCTATGCGCTTTGCTACGACACATGATCGGCGCCGTGTACACGCCTTTATTTCATCTACATTGACCAGGCTAGTCCTGCGGCTCCGGGTCCTGCTCCAATGCTGCCCTTTCAACGCCACCATCACCGCCGTCCAGCAGTCTATACAGCATCTTCCATAGTAGAATCACGGCAGTGGCGGCTATTGCGCACGACGCAGCAATAATAAGGCCGCGTTTATACCGCGGGGCGTCTACGTACAAGGCAAAAGTCAGCCTCCTTTCCCCAGCTATGGTAAACGCAATCATTGCATACCTTGAGTCCTAAAGAGCTGGTTGCCTGGAAAGTTGGCTAGCTGGATACTCATGACATATGCCGCCAGCGCAATAGGACGCTTGTGATCTTCCATCTTAGTCGTCAGCCACGCGGCGTTGATGGCCTGTGCCGAGCCCATGCCCATCTGTGTCCATACCACGCCTCCTGCAGGGCGTCAGTCTCGACAACATGTTGCGCAAGCGTGCAGAGGCATACCGTAAAGGGTCCATTTGCGCACATCATCCGGCGCCAGCGCAAGCCAGAGAAGGCCTCCGGCGCCCACCAGATACCCGACAGCGACGTGGACGCCGCGCTCCCTTGTCTTGTCGCTGCTGAATGCGAGACCAACAGACAGCACAAGCGAGCACACACTTCCCACCGAGTTGAGGCCGTTTGCCTGCAGCCGCGTGAAGCCGAGGGCCTTGATGATGGACGGCGCATATGTATTCATGGGGGCAATCATGACCATGGACAGCAGCGCCGCAACAAGATGGCCATACAGTCGCCAGTCCATAAAGGTCTGCCACACGTGAGACGGCTGGACGGGTTTGCCCCAGGCAAGGGCCTTGGTCGCATCATTCCGCATCACGCGCGTCACCAGGATGGAAGCTTCCCGCTCGGTAAACATGTTGAACGACGCCCCAAAGAAGCTCTTTGGTTGCGCAGCGCTGTGGGGGAGATAGGCGTACGCAAGTACCCCTAGCGCACAGGTAAGAATGCCCTCTTTCGGCCGTCGTTAGCAAGTGGTTTTCACGAGACAAAGCGAGAAGAGGGTGTCAACAGGAGCGTCAAATACAACAAGGAGTTGGCCGTACCGACAAGAAACAGCCACTGCCAACCCTTCAAACCACCACGCCCGCTCAACGACAACAACCCGATACTCAGGGGTCCCCCCAATGCGCCGGCAATCGCGTTCGATGCCCAAAACAGGGCGTACCTCGAGGCCAGCTCATCGTTTGTGTAAAACTTGGAAATGTACAGCGCAAATCCAGGGATATAACCCCCCTCCAGGGCTCCAATGAAGAACCGCACCGCACTCAGCCCGGCGCCATTCTTCACAAATATCTGTGCCCACGTCACGGTCCCCCAGAGAAACATGGTGATGGGGAGGAAACGCTCGGGCCCCATGTACCGACTGATCAAGTTGAAGGGCAGCTCGGTAATGATAAAGCCCACCGTGAAGAGCGTTTGGGCCAGGTTGATGTCCGAGTTGTCGATCTGCATGTCCTTGGCAAGCGTGTCGGTGAGGGCGTTGCCAATGTTTGTGCGGTCGAATTGGAGAAAGCAGAAGCAGAGCATGATGAAAGGCAGGATGAGAAAATCGACTTTAAGGAGGGCACGCCGAGTTTCCCCCGTCGTGGCGCGAAGAGTGGCATCGTAGCCAGGCACATTGTATATCTGCTGGTGGTCTTCATCTTCATTGTCGGGCTTGCAAAGTGTTGCGGGAGTGCAAGGGGAAGCCGACACGGCATATGCGGGTTCAGCCTCGTCGCACGCTCTGTCCACTTGACGGGTCATAATATGAGTATCTTTCTTCTGCGTGTGTCATGGGAGTCCAGGTGCATGCTGCGAGGTCCTTGTGCTTCCTACTCGCCGGTTTCAAATCCTGACTCTTGTCCCTCGTCGTGAATCACCAGGTGAATATATAACTCTGTGATCGGCGTCATCCGACGACATCTCTATCGCCTCGCCTGATAGCTTTCCGCAGATTGCGTCAATATATCAAAGATATCATCACCTTCCACAATGGCGTGCTGATAACAATTCGTTGCTTGAATGTATGTAGACCCCTGTTGTCTGGGGAGATCTCACCGATCGCAACTGTCAAACTAGGTGGTGGAGTTGGAGTGGTCGAGGTTTCCCGGCGGTATGCCGATGGATGGCCCGCCGGCATGCCGTGGGTAGGTGCGAAAGAGGCCAGTGTGATATGACGAAGCTTTATTTTTCGCACATGCTAAACGTTAATATAATTCCAGGTAAGACCTTCAGTCACTCTATTTTCAAGCCGTTTTGTATCTGATAACGAAAACATTTGGTGTGCATTCTTGCGCCAGTAATTAGTGACATTGAGCCGCTGCCAGCAACAAACAGACCTTTTTTTATTTAAGCATCTGCATTGCCCGTATTAGAAATCACAACCGTTTCCATATTTATAACTGCAACGTCTAATTGCATTCCGTTTTCCCCATGGAGCAAAATACTCTCAAGCGAAGAGGAGTCGGCCTCATTGGCGTTGATAAGCAAAAGACGTTTGGTGGCTACACGCTATTCTGTCCTCTGACGAGCGACGTAGCTCGTCTGATTGACATGGACGGTAAGGAAGTTCATAGATGGAGGCTACCCAGTCGAATTGGCCGACATGCTAGAATCTTGCCCAACGGTAACCTGGCCGTCAATACTCTTCGACCGTCTCCTAAAAAGAAGACCAACGATGGGGGGCCTTTCCCATTTCCTTTCTTTAACAAGTATGGGGGTGGAATCATGACTGAACTTGATCCCGACGGCAACGTCGTCCGTCAGTTTGTCGACCCGTTCGCTCATCATGACCAATATCATTTCGGGGACGGCAGGCTCTTATACGCCAGTCTGGAGCCGCTCTCGCCTGAGCAATCTGCCCAGGTCATTGGCGGTGTGCCCGGTTCAGAGATCGACGGCATCACTTACGCGGATATTATTAATGAAGTTGATGCACAAAACAACCTGGTCTGGCAGTGGAAAGTGTCGGAGCGTCTTCCCCGAGACGAGTTTCCTCTGCAGCCGCATTATACACGCGAGCACTACCCGCTCGTCAACTCTGTGTTGCCCCTCCGCGATGGCAAACACGTCCTCGCCTCTTTGCGCTCTGTATCGGCCGTCATCGTCATCGAAAAGGCTACGGGGAATATTGTGTGGAAGATTGGCTCAGATGTCGTTGCTCAGCAGCATAATGCTACAGAACTGGTCAATGGCAACATTCTCATATTTGACAACGGCGCCTTCCGCCCTGGAGAGTCCATCACATACTCCCGCGCAATTGAAGTTGATCGCAAGACTAAAAAGATTGTATGGGAGTATAGAGATCGCTCGTCACCAATCTGTTTCTTCACCCCTTTCATGGGAAGTGCGCAGCGACTAGAGAATGGAAATACGCTTCTGTGCGAAAGCGCATTCGGTCGCTTGTTTGAAGTCACCAAGGAGGGTTATATTTGCTGGGAGTACTTGAACCCGCATTTCGCAGAGTATCCCGATGCGGAGACGGCCAGGATTTTCCCCGGGGAATCGAATGCCTTGTTCCGAGCGTATAGATATGCATTGCAGGATATTCCTTGGTTGAAGGCCAAGCTGGAGAAAAACGGAGGCATCTAGACACATTCTCCCATCTCCGAAATGACCAACACCCAGCACGAAGCTGGCAAACGGCCCGGGACAACCTCAGTAAGCCCCACCACGCGGGACTTTGACAGAGTGACAGAGTGACAGCTGTGCTCGGGGCATCAGCTAGGCGCCATGCCGCATGTATACTGCTAAGAGACGATGCGCCCACATAGGTTACCCGAGAAATGCTTAAGCTAGCTAGGGTAGAAATGTCTCTTTTCCGTTTGGTCGGTCAGCACACATGATCCGGATCGCAATGGTTTAGCTGTCCAAGATAAGCGATGTCTCGTCGGCGTAATCGACCTTCCGTATGCCATGCCAAAAGTTCAAACAATGAATATTTATTAGACACATTGCGGCCACGGCATGGTATCATCATTAACCGAAAACAAATCCAAACCAATAACATTGGGGTATGTGAATGCGATGCTGGGGCGGTGGGGGGATTGCTCATCGAAGAGTGGGAGGACTGCCTCATTCCCAATCAAGTTGTAAGTCGGCGGGATGCTGGACGGTCGAAAGCCAGGGCGCAGCTTCTGAAACTGTGCTGAAATAATATCCCCTAATATATGGGCAACATGGCACCGCAGACCAATAGAGCCAAACCAGTTGATCAGCGTAAAAATTAGTGAATCCAGCACATATAAATCGTAGCCTGCTGTCGTAAGCTGTGGCTCGTAATTGTGAATAACCTGGCAAAGTGTGAGTGCTGAAAATGTGATGAGGTGGTAGATATGATCGGTCAAGTGGCGAGTTCGCTCATCGGCCGTGTTGATCGCGAGCTTGATGATGGTTTCTGATAATCGTATCATTTCGGACAGAGTGGCAATATCCATGCCAGTTTGTGCCGATCTTAGGCTCTGATAATAGGCGAACAGATGAGCAAAGTGGAATCCCATCTGAAGGAACTGAGATCGGGGTTGATCTACACCTGTGCTTAGCGTCGAGAGTTCTCTTTTCTGTAGCGTATAGCGTCTTCAGTGGTGTGCCTTCTTACCGAATAGAGATATCCATTTATGCTGCCACAGCTGTAGTGCACGAATTACGCCAAGGAGGTCGACTCTCCCTACGCAGCATTGCTGATATATCACCCAATACAGCTGAACTTCGGCAACCATTCTGGTTTCATAATTGTTTACGTTGTCAGCCTCGAGGAATCGCAGGCAGCGATCTATTTCGACTTGCGAAATTATTGCGTGTCTCCGCATGCCAACACAATAGCTGCAAATCGGATGAGCGGTCTTGGGCTCCCCCTCAGCTGGCACAGACGGTTCAAACTTACTGGAGATGCGCCAGTGTTAGATGGGTCCAAAGACACCATGCGTCGCAATGGGCCTTGGTGACGGGCGCAGCTGTGGTGCACTGAAAGGCATCTATGAAGAAAGGGCTGGCCATGGCTTGCTGCAAAGCATACCCCGTTATCATCCAGCTATCGACGCTCAGCGGCACCTGGCCGATGGTTGTTGACCAAAGACTTAGAATCACGATGGACTGGTAAAACTCGATTCCCTGAGGCACAGTAAGCAAAGAAGCGCTGAGCAGCCGTTTCGCCTCTTGGAACAATCTCGGGGCAAGTTGGTCCGCCAGCTGGTCAGTGGTGTGTCGCACAGCAATCAGAAACAGGCTACAGAGCAGCAATGGTGAGTGTCGAACCTGAGGCAAGAGTGCCTCGCTAGATAAGTCCTCCGAGAACTTGACCCATCGGCCATAGTGGACATGAAATCTAGGTGGTGTCAGTTGCGTGGGCCATGCCCGGGCCAAGCAAACGTACATTCTGAGCAGCGTGTGCGCCGTGGGCAGGGGGACGAGACCTGTCGATATCACATCTTGACTCTCGCCGGCTTCATGGTGCTCGGGCGAGCGGACACCGGCATCGGTACACGCGTCACGGATGAGAAATACCGGAGCCGGGTGTCTCTCGCGAGGACCGGGGTAGTGTGAGGTTACTCCCGACCCATTCTCGCTCAGAGGCGGGGTGCGACGGTGGTGTTCCTGTGTGACAGACGCAACATTGTCGAGGATAGACTCGAGACGGCTGACAAGTTTGTCGGCCAGCGCCTCCAGCCTGTCGAGTCTATGGCTGGAGTGTCAGAATCGGGATGACGAGTCAAGCACGGGGTGGTCGCACCTTGCATCCACCACTGCAGCATGAGAAGACGATGCCGCAGCCGTGGTCGCTTGCTCAACGTGGTCGAGCAGCGCATTCCCGGCCAAGTCCTCCTTCAGGGAGCATTCGAGCGACAGAGTTTCACAGCGCAAACAAGTGCCCTTGATCTTGCCGGACGCATAGCATCTCGTCTTGTTCTTGCGGCACGAATCACAGGCTTTGGAGGCTCTGCCAGTTCGAAGGGAGGGCATAATTGGGATAAAGGCCGACCTATAGCATACAGTCCGTCATGCATGTACGGTATGACGAGGGGAGGGATCAAGAGAAAAAGACAGCCGCCTCTGGGTGATGCAAATGCCGGTCTCCAGACGCCTTGATAGTGATTTGCTCGGCGGAGGTGCCATGGCGTTCAAAGTTCGGATGGCGCGAGCAAGGCCCCATGCATCCAGCAGCATGCCAAGCCCACTCTCCCGCTCCCAGAGTCGCATGTGCAGAGTTGCCAAGCTGAACACAAAATCCTGGCATTAAGTTGGGCACGTTAATTGATGATGGAAGATTTCCAGTGGTCAGCCATTTTGTGGGTTCCGCGTTCCGACATGCTTGATGGGTGCGCGATATCACGTGGGATAGAGAGAGCCAACAATCTGGGAAGGAGCTCTGCACCTCAATCTTCAAATGTCGGTTATTTTTATTTTCGCACAGAGTCAAACAAACACCAGCAGTGACTATTCAATCAGATAAGGCTACATGTACATATCAGCATCGTCCAAGCCGCCGGCTGTTTCGTCGCAACGCATCCCCCCTGTCACCCTGGAGTTTTGCGTCTTTCAGGCTATTTTCAAGCTCGTAACGCCACAGCCACAGGGCACTGGGGTTTCACTCGGCCATATTCCCCACGTTCATACAAACCGTTACATTGGGTTGCCACATCGATCGGTTGTTGAACAGATTGTCATCCGTGCGCAGATTGACTGACCCTTGCGTGGCCTAGTCAACCAGTCAATGTCAATCAAGATGCAACCAACAACGAACGTGCTACGCAAGCCCACGAACCCAACATCCTGCCATGTCCAAGCCAGTGTCTTGGTGCCACACAGGCCCCCGGCAAATCAACCACAACCTTCGCAAGACGGCCTAATGACCGACAATGATATTTCCTAGTTGTCTACCATTTTCCAGCCTCAAACCCCGATAGCTTTTGCAATGGCCTCGCCGACTCCCCTGGCCGAAGCAGGATTCTGACCAGAAATAAACAAGCCATCAACGACAACCTTCTCCCCCCAAGGTTGATCCGCAGCGTGGAAATTGGCGCCTACCTTTTTCAGCTCGTCCTCAAGCAAGAAAGGCATAGCAGCGCTGAGCTAGACCTGGTCCTCCTCGACATTGGTAAAACCAGTCACATTCTTGCCCTTGAGAAGCGGCTCGCCGCTCTTACCTTTGGCATCTCGGAAGACAATGGGCCCATGGCAGACAGCGGCAACGAGCTTGCCCGCGTTATAGAACTCCTCGATCAACTTGATGGAGTCTTGATCCGTGACAAGGTCATACATGGGGCCGTGCCCCCCCCCCCGGGTAAAAGAGAATTCGTCGGAACGACCAATAAACTCCTTAAAGGGGGTTGTTTTCTCCCAGACCGACTTGTGGTTGTTGAGGAAGTTGACAGATGACTCGTCGCTTTTGAACATGTCAATCGAGCTAGGATCGAGGGGAGCAATACCACCCTTTGGAGAGGCTACGATGATCTCTGCCTTGGGAGCCAAAACATCATGTGGATGAGCCAATTCTGACTGCCAGAGTTGGTTAGCGAATCGATCTCCACCCCGATAGGTGAAACTAGTCCATGTATTTGTGGGAATGATTATTTGTCTCGTGGAGCTCTGACAGGAAATATCTCGGCGCTAGGACGTAGCTCAGCCTGGAGGATTTCACGCACAAGGTATCAGCCCGTGGGCTTGTCCAGCTTGACAATTTTGTCAGCGCTGGTGAGAATAACGAGAACTCTTTTTGGCCATTATGACGGTATTATTGCAGTTTTTCGTAATATCAGCCGGGCTGCTCTTGGTAGATGGGCGATTGCAAACAGGAGAGGCTTCCACAGTTGTGTAGCGGAAGGTCTGGCGTGTAAAGCCTAGACGCGGGGTATCTCCAACCAAAATGTCTTTGTGGATGCAATATTCAAGACTTTTGTAAGTGCCGTTGGGAGTAGCTGGTGATGGGCATGAGGGTTCGCACACGCTTCTTTTTATAGCCGCTAATCTCTATTAACCACAAGTTCCTCCATCCCTCCCTTTGCCATGCACAATTGATGTTCGAGTTACCAGATCAGCGTATTATAAATGTGTACGGGCTTCGCGCTGGCCACTCATGACCCCACTTGTAGCCCATCCATTGACGACAGCCACATACACTATTGACGTCATGATACGAAATGAAGCTTCAACAGGTCAACTTCAGAATTGAGACTATTTGAGGTGATCCATCAAATGGCTATTGAACATGTGTAGACGAATGAGCATGAGTAGTTGTAGATTCCTAAAAAGGGGGTGACTGCGTCTTTCGTCCCATTCAGCACATTCCAGCGACTGCATGTCTTTTCGAAAGCAAGTTTCTTTTCCTAAAAGAGGCCCGTGATATAATTTGCAACGTGGCGGAATAGCTACTAATACGATCTTATACTAAAACACACGCCAAGTTCCGCATGGAGCATCGTGTGAATTCCCTCTTACCTCTTGCCGCTCGCCGCCGCTGGAGTGGTTTCACTGCAGTTGTTGATCAGGAAGAATGGGAACGCTCTTCTGAGGCGGAGCAAGGCCACTTTTGTGGTTCGCCAGTCGCAACAACGACATGTGTGCTTTCGGCACCATCCAAGTTCCGTTGGCTGCTACGGCACCAAGAGCGTCGGAGTGCCTGAACGATATGTTCCGAAGGGATTTTTCCGTTCTGCATGCTTCGTGGAAGAAGAGGATTGGGAATGATGGAAGAAATTCGCATACGAAAGCTAGGACTGCCAATTCATGCTCGTTTATTAGGAATTGGACGTGTATTGTGGGCAAGCCTAGATATCTCCAAATTATACAGTACCATCTGTGCCGTACGTACGAATCCGTGTAAACAGCAATCCAGAAGAGGTCATCATATGATGCTTGAAATGTTATTTCCGGCTAACCGACATGCAAATCTTAAAAAGTCACTGTCTCTAAACTCATCTGTCGATGACCGTATGAGAGGTGCCATGGTCCACAGGAGAAGACCGGCGCGAAAGGCATCGTACGGCTCACGCGGAATGTTGTAGGGATAGGACCGGGAGATGGCGAGCAGCTGTGCGCCAAGACAGGCCATGCGGCGGGGCTGGACGGGATCAGCATTGGCCCACGCCCGCCGCCGACGCTCCGCAATCTCGGCGGCAAATTGATCCTTTCTCGCTCCAGCTCCGGCTCCGGCCCCGCACTGCTGCCGCCAGTCGGCATCGAGCGGCACAAAGTCGCCGACGTGGTCTGCGGCAATGGTTTACGCCACGAGCAAGATGCGCGCCCGGTGGACAAGGCCCTGGAACTCTCGCTCCTCGTATGATCCCCCCAGGCAAAACTCCAGTCCATCAGCGACACGAATGTTGCGCATTTTCGGCAGCCTCTTGGAGCGCCGTGGTCGTGAGTCCGCTCAACGGCGACCAGTTGCGAGCCGAGTTGAAGTTCCTCCGGAGAATACAATGCGGTGGTCACTAATCATGAATGTACCTGTTTCTTTCAAGTTGGCGGCCCCTGATTCCCATATTATAGCAAATTACTCTGAACAATTCAAGATGTGCGCCGTTGCGAACTTGGCATGATCTCTTTCTTTGGATAGTCAGTGCTAGGCAGGCTCGGGACTGTGGGACATGTGAATCCTCACCATGATGCTATAGTCAAGCACTAGATGCTGCAATTCCTCTCCAAGACCTGTAATGGGATTCTTTCGAAGAATGCGACGTATATATGTCGAACTCGTCTTTGTTCTGCTGCCGGCGCACCTCCCAGCGGAAATATACTGAACCAAACCGTTCGGATATTTGAGAGAGCGACACATCATGCTAGGAGCTCGGTGATGGTATTGATACTTTAAAAGCTGTTCGTATTGGTGCTCGGGGAACGAGGGATCTGAATAGCATAAGCCTCAGGGGCCGCGAAACTTCCGAGCCGACTTACCCTTCCTCAACGTCTCGTCCAGCAACTTCGGATTGATGATTAGCAAGCTCATCATTTGAGAAACCTGTTTTCTGGTCTTTTCTTGTTCAAGTTTTCTATCTACTGAGCATACCCTCCATGTCCCACAGTCCTGCATTTTCTCAAATTACCACTTGGGCTTACGAAACCAGGCCGGCTGATGTCGCTGACGACGAACTCCATTCAGCCGCCCCATGCACCCTATCGGACATCGAATTTGGGGTTAATTTGATCTGGCCCAGCTAGTAGGACAAAATCCAAGCGGAATCCGTCCTCAGCAGTAGCCTTGATCAGATTGCGTCGAAAGGGAGACCAATCTGTGGCACTCCGGTCAAACACCCATAACCAGTCGCTTGGTCCGTGGCCTCTCCAAATCTTGACTCTCTCTTGCTTCGTAAACAGAAGTTTGTCTCCAGTGGCTCGGCATTTTGTTCGAATGTCATCGTCATCCAGCGGTATAACGATTACGGCAATAATATCATCACGATGATGAAAGACATGGGTCAGCAGTTCTAAACGGCCGCGATGTGGAGGGTCAAATGATCCTGGATAGACGAGTATCTTGTTCACTGTCTTTCCGGAGTTTCGCTTGCACGTGGGCCAACCCATGGTCGAATATGGGTGCATCAAAAGGCGTGCGACCGTACACATGCTCAATATGTGCTGAGAAGTCCAACATGAGGTTTGTCGGCAATACCGGACATGATTTCTTTGGACCTCTGGTGTGTGAAAAAGGGTTGGGAACACGCCACTGTGCAGCGTCTCGTCTTGCATGACGTTGAATGTGCTGTGGAATTTTGAGGTAGGGTTCAAGTTCATGTTCCTCGACGGTGTGAGACACGTTAAAGTTCCAGCTAGGCCCAAGTCACTGACGAAAGATGACAACAGGTCCTTCGGAGGGTCGCAGCCGCAGCTGCGCAAGAGATGCTGGGCTTCTTCACGTCCAGGGAACTGCGTCGGGAAGCCCGCGATCGCGACGAGGCCTTGCCTACCACTCCCTGGGCAACAGCTTCTGCTTCTACAGGGCATATAAACTAGCACAAAAGGACAAATCGGTGCATAGCTACGAGAACATGAACAGCGTGTGCACAGCGCAACGGAACTCGGATTCGTGTTGGCGTACTCTAGGTACTCGTCAATTTCGGCATATGCCCGCCCGTCATTGCCTACTTCACATCTGAAATACATTCCCATTGCTCTTTTCTAAGCATGTTTTAGGATCCATTATGAAGAAAACATCTCAAGGCTCGACTGTTGTTAGTTTGGTTCGGAGTTGTGGCTAGCCGTCCCGTTGCTGCACTTGCAGAGGCTCAAAACACGCCGTTTTGGTGTCAGTCTCCGAATAATGCAGCACTACCCCAGAATTCAGGTTTACTTCTTGTCTGTGCAGCAATTGGACAGAATTTGACTACTGCCTGATCGTCTCTCGGGGAGCCATCCTTTTCGGCGTCGACATGGCCACGATATCCGGCATCATCATCATCATCAACAACAACAACAAGTTCCAGGAAGACCTTGGCGACCTAGACCCAGTCACGGGCGCCTGGGTCATCTCAGCCGGTGGCCAAACAATCCTGTACGGGCTCTCGTTGACAGATATGTCATGTCAGTAATTGCAGAGGGAGGGCGCCCCGCGTGTTTTCGGAAATCGCAACTAACACGTGGGCCCCTTTTTGTCGTCTTCTTAGCATGATGTATCAAGGCATGATCGGACGGCGCCAGCTCCTCCTCTCTTCACGGGCAGCATCTCATGCGGGCTGTGTATGCTCCTGTTCGCCATTGTCGGCGCCGTCAAGCCCAACAGCATCGCGGGCGCCAACATTCTCGCAGCGTGCGCGCGTGTGTATCTGTTTGCCTACGGGGCAACCATTGCAAGCACTATCTGGCTCTACTTTGAGCTTCCGGAGACCAAGGATCGCACCCTGGAGGGGATTGACGACATGTTTCTCAATGCGAATTGCACAGGCCCTGTTTATATTTCGCGTCGTTGGCTACCCCTTATCCAATGTCATTATTACTTCGTGCTCTGTGCTCTTGCTCAAGTATTTCCGTCCAAGGTCTTTCCACCAGAAAATTCAAACGCTACGTCTGCACCGGCCAAATCGGGCATGGTAATAAACGGGTGATGGCCGAGGTCGAGAAAGAATCGTATAGCAAGATGAGGCAAGGACCGGGCCGCGTATGGCAACACCCCAGGTGCCACTTCACGGCGGTGCAGCACGACTCGTCCCGGGAGGAACTTGGAAACATGGTTTTTGATCATGGAGGTTGGAAGTTTTTCATAGTTCCCATATGCCAGTGGCACAACATTGTGAATCTCACCACATGGCTGGGGCTAATGAACTGTGCAACGTATTGACTCCATCGAATTTTCACTACGTGTAAGCATGGCATAGATGCCACTGATACCAAGTGGGGATAAAAGCCTCTGCAAGCAGAGGGCGACGAGGCATTTTCGTACTGTTTGCTCGGCGGCCAATTTCCGGCTACTCCATATCCAACTGGCTTACACTTGGCATCGTGCAAGAGTAGTACGGTGCAAAGGGAGGATTTGAAGCCCAGGGTGTCAAACGTTTAAATTTTCACAGTTCAAGTATTCAATTAGCGCGTAATTTGACATCCATCAGCGGCCATGGTGTAACGGTTAGCATGGCTGATTTCCATTCAGCCGATTCGGGTTCGACTCCCGATGGCCGCATTCATTTTTTCACCTTTGGTTTCCCTTCTTCTTTTCTTTTTTTTTTATTTCTTGCTCGCATTGCACTTTTTGCTGCTTTGCGTGCCAATGCCTTTTGGTGAGAGTCTAGTCATTCAGTGTCTCTCTTGTTCAAACAAGGAACAATTTGTTCCCGCCCCGTGTCAACGGAATACTCCCACGGCTCGCGCCTAGTACCGCACTTACACGAGTCCTGATCCGTTCCACATGAACCCCGTTGGCAACTAGGATCACGACTTCAAGGCCAAAGCTTCATCCAGCTGTAAAATGCCAGCGTGTATACAATGTTACAATGAGGTTATGAAACCCAAACACTCGAGCAATTATTTATCTATGAACCAATACGAGACACATGTTACAAACACAACTGACAACAACTTCACAATCCAAGTGTAAACAAGTGGGTAGCATGCCGAGTCGATATCATATATTAGGATATTATATAATTATTGTCATTCGAATACAATTCCCAAACCCCAACATGCCCAAAAATCTCTTTTAAATGACCCGCTTACAGCAAGGCAATAGCACCCAGGGCAAGGAGAACCTTGGCCGGGGCCAGGGCACCAGCACCGGCGGTGACGGGAGTGGTAGAGTTACCAGAGGGCTTGGCGGCAGTGGGAGCAGGGGCAGGGGGAGGAGCAGGGGCAGAGGCACCGGTGCAAGAGGCCTTGCAGCCCTCAAAATTGGAGACGCAGGTGGACAGGTTGGCACCAGACTGGCCGCGGCACTGGTCGTAGGTGGCCTGGCACTTGTCGTTGCAGCCCGGGGCGGGAGCAGGGACAACGGTAGGCGAGACGGGCTTGGAGGGAGCGGCCGTGGTGGCACCGGTGCAAGAGGCCTTGCAGCCCTCAAAGTCGGAGACGCAGGTGGACAGGTTGGCACCAGGCTTGCCGCGGCACTGGTCGTAGGTGGCCTGGCACTTGTCGTTGCAGCCCGGGGCGGGAGTAGGGACGGCGGTGGGCTGGACGGGCTTGCTGATGGTGCAGGGGCAGTCGGTGATGGTCAGGGTGGTGGCCGAGGTGATGGTGTAGGTCTTGTCGCCGTGGGTGAGGGTCGTGGGGGCAGGGCAGTAGGTGGTCAGGGCCGTGACGACCTCGGTGGTGTAGACGATGTGGCCGGTGGCCGTGGAGTTGTTGTGGACGCCAGCGATGGCGGAAGCAGAGGCCACGGCAGAGCCGAGCACAACCATGCGAAGGGAGCTCATTGTGAGAGTGGTTTTTGTAGTTTTTATGTACGTGAAAAAGAAGGACAGTGGTTGCAACCTAGCGAAGGGAATAAGGCTCGAGTGTGTTTGCCAAAGAGTCTTGCTTGCGGATCGTCGGGGAGGGCGGCCAAAGGGGCATCTTTATACCACCCTTCACGCCCGTGTTTTGCCCCCTTAGGCGGGGAACAGACCCAGAATTGGAAAGAAAAAACACAGCACGAACGTAAGGAGTAGTACTAGCACCAGACTCGAGGTGACAACAACAACCGCCATGGCACGAGTGGCGAGGCCGAGTTCCTGGGCGTACCACGGCGTACCTGCATGGCCTAGTACGTGCATACTACCAGCATCCTGGAGGGCCTCACGATACTGGTCCCACTATACCGAGGGAAGCCAGCGCCGGGAAAAACGGAATTTCGCCCTATCGAGCAGCACGGCAGGGGTTCCGCCCCCAGTGTGGTTGCTGACCGTGTGCTCGCCAAGCCATCAGGCCATTGCTCAGCCCAATAGGCACCGCGTGCTTCAAGGCAGTTCCTGAGTTCCTGAGCCTTGATGTGGGTTCCTGGTAGCACAACGGTCTAGTCCTTTGGGCACAAGCGGGTGGATATGTGGTAAAAAGGGGTGTCGACTCGGCCAAGTATGTACATAGTACTCCCAAGCTCGTATCCGGAAATTGATCTAGTCGCCATTTAGAGTTTTTATTCGCAGCATAGCAGGGCGGTTTGCGGGTTATCGGTGGACGCAGTGCGGATTTCACTCCTCTCGGTCGACATTGCAGCGAGACGGGCAGCGAGACGGGCAGCGAGACGGGCAGCGAGACGGGCAGCGAGACGGGCATCGAGACGAACATCGAGACGAACATCGAGTAGTGGTAGCCGCCTGTTGGACGTCATGACCGGTTGCGGGCAACGGTTTGGCCAAAACACGCTGCCAGTTTGCCGATCGAGATGGGGGATGCGACCACGGCTGCTCGGTACAGCCTAGCACTGGCACTACTCGGCAGATTGTCAGCTACGGATTCTGATATATGACGTCGAATGGAGTGGTGTGGTGGAGATGGTGCTCGCGAGATGCATCCACTCGAGGTCCTCGACTCTTGACGAGATACGAGTGGCCGGCGCGACGCAGCAATTTCAGAATACGGACGGCTTCATCCCAAGGCTGTTTGTTTCACGACACGTTTCTGCCGCTGATGGGAGCGTCCGAGCCAGACATGGCAGATGATGCATGCTTCCCGTGTGATGCTGTGTGATGCTGTGTCATGGCAGAGCCCTCGGGCCAGTCGGATGGCGCCGTCGCCGTGCTCCGTTTCAGCAGCGCAAAAGGAATTCAAACGTCGCTCGCTCCCTTTGCTCCGCCCAACGTGGAATGCCAATCTCCACTGCATTAGTCAACACTAAATCTAATCTCCTGCCAACAATAGAACGCCTCGGTCAGCGCCCGGTACCACCAGTTTCAGCCATGAGCCACGGAGCAAAACGGCGCGTCTTGACTTGTTCTTGGGCTCGAAATGAAGTGACAATGCAAACTAAATCAGGAATTCACGGTTGCATTGACTTGTTTATTGCGGCGTGGTACTTTGTTTTGCCCTTGTGGAAAGTGGGTCGGGTTAGGGTTGCGCACAGAGGGACAATTGTATTGTACATATTTACATGTGTTTTGGTGTGGACAATTCCCCGTAGCAAATGCTCCGTGGTGGCATTGCACACGGTGAGGAAATCTCCATGTACGGAGTACATACGATGCTATACCTCATACATGCGCAATACTCTCATTGAATAGCGGTTCCGTATGGGGGCGGTAGCAAGTCGGGGACACCAGCATCCCAAGACAAGCTGAAAGCTCGAAAAGTGCCAAGCGCTAATAAGCAAGGATCAAGACGGGCACATTACACGAGCTTACAATATGGCGCCGGTCATTTGCTTGCCCACAATGGTGTGTACACGAGCAGTTGAGTCTCAGAGGAGAGAAGATCTGTAGCCGCCATGGAATGCAACTCCCCAAAGGTTCGCAACTAGTACCGAGTATCACGCTTGCCTTTGCGCTTGACCCCAATGCAGAGCGCCAGCAAATTTTCTTGTCTCCCATTGTGCTTATTTGCCGCCAAACCATAGGGTAGGGAGGTCCTGCAGAAGAGGCGGAATCATCCCTTCTACGGAAATGGATTCCCAGCCATCACAGGCAACTACAGGGACTACCATAGTCAACTCCAGCCGAGTTTTTTTTTTTTTTTGAAATGCCTACCACCAAGTTTGCAAAACCTGTCCATATCCGGAGTAGGCCTTGTTCAAATCGAGGTAGGAGCTTGAGGCTGGCGTTGGTTCTGGCTAGCCCAGCATAGAGTCGGGTTGGAACTGTCACCAGTCTTGCCTTTCCATACCTCGTTACAACTAAACTGTGCCCTATCACAATTTAACTAGACCAAGCAAACGGAATGCCACCTCCACTAGTGCCTGCAATAATCAAACCTTGTATACCTCTTGGTTGTCGTATGCCCTGGATTTTTTTTACCTGTTGACATGCCCAAAGCTCCATGTCGCGACGTCGTTTCTCGATCCCATACCAGCCGACGACACATTGTCTTTCAGTAACGACAGACAGTTATTAGAAGAGGCTAAAAGCCAATCATATCGACAGATGGAGACGGAATGTATGCTGATTACTGGTTGAAATGACGCCCAAAGCTGTAGACCAGGCGGTTCACAAGGCGGTAGATCAGTATAGTCGTGCGGCAGTGAGGTACAAGGAGCGCGGGTATGGTCGCGGGGATTAAAGCAAAAGCCAAAGCTTCGGCGGTGATGGAGTGTCAAGTTGAAGATGTGGTTGCTGTGAGCGTGGACTCCGTGCATGGAGAAGGTGTAGGGTTAGGGTTGCCATTCTTCACCTGAGCATGTAGTAGTGGGGCGTCTTGACTCTTGTCTTGCATCCGCTTCCTACGCCTCACGTGCGGCCAACTCCAGACTTACCACGCCCAACATCTCGTCATCGCCCATCATGGCCAACGAAGCCCCCCGGCCGAAGCTCCTCTGGAATTCCGACAATGTCAAAGACGTCGCCGAATCCGTTGGCATCAACTCGCTCAACGACGAAGCCCTCAAGGCACTGACGCAGGACGTCGAGTATCGCATCGGCCAAGTCATCATCGAGGCGCTCCGCCTGATGCGCGCCGCTCGCAGAACCACCCTCACCGTCAACGACGTCTCCCTCGCACTCAAAGTCCTCGATGTCGAGCCTCTCTACGGATACGATTCCACGCGACCGCTTCGCTACGGCGAGGCGAGCCTTGGTCCCGGCCAACCGTTATTCTACATTGAAGATGAAGAGGTGGATTTTGAAAAGCTCATCAATGCGCCCTTACCCAAAGTTCCTCGCGACATGAACTTTACAGGTAAGCTGCCAACTCTCCCCCATTGCCTCGACGTCGCTAATCCCAAAAAAACAGCCCACTGGCTCGCAATCGAAGGCGTCCAGCCATCAATACCCCAGAACCCAACGACGGCCGAATCGCGCTCCCAAGAGCTGCTTCCCAAAGGCCCCGGCGCAAATCCCGCTCTCGCCGCCCTGGCCGGAAACGACAACGTGGCCGTCAAACCCTCTGTCAAACATATTGTCAGCAAAGAGCTCATTCTCTACTTTGACAAGATCCAGGCCGCCATTCTGGACGATAACCCCGACGAAGAAGTCGTCCGTCTGCGCCAAGCAGCACTGGGCTCTGTACGCGACGACCCGGGTCTGCACCAGCTTGTCCCGTACTTTATCAACTTCATCATGGACAGGGTGACGCACCACCTCGACGACACCTTTACACTCCGGCACATGATGGAGCTGACGAATGCCCTCATCGAAAACAAGAGCCTCTTCCTAGATCCATACGCCTCCTCGTTGTCCGCCCCGGCATTGACGTGCCTGATGGCCCGGAAGCTAGGCACAGATGACGGCGTGGACGCCATGAAGGACCAGTACGATCTGCGACAGCTGGCGGCGTCGTTGGTGGGCCGCATCGCCCGCAAGTACTCGGCCTCCAACACCCTGCTGCGTCCAAAGCTCACGCGCACGTGTCTCAAGTACTTCCTGGATCCCACGAAACCGCCTGCCGTTCTGTACGGAGCCATCTACGGACTCCTGGAAGCCGGTGGCCCCGAAGCCATTCGTGTCCTGGTGCTCCGCAACATGAAGACGTTCGACGCGGCTATTCTGCAGCCGATGAGGGACAGGTCCGAGGGCAGCATCGAATACGAGATGCTGGTGCAGGGTCTCGTGCAAGCAGTGGCATCGCTGGCGCAGCGTGGCGAACTGGGCGCTCCAAACGGGGTCAATGGTACTGCGTCGGACTCGGAGCTCTCCGAGCTGAGCGAGTTTATCGGGTCAATCGTCGGGGGAAAGATTGCCGCCGCAGGTAATCGCGCTCTGGTGAGGACGATACTCGACGCTCGATCGCTGGCATAGCAGATTGGGCAGCGTCGGAGCAGCAGGGTAATAAGAGCTGGGAGGAATCGGCGAATTGGCGTTTGGGAGCGATATCAAAATGGCTTTGATTCACACGGGCTTGAGGGATAAGCATAGCAAAACGTAGCTACTCCGTAGATAAATCGGAAGGCCCAAAAAAAAGAAACACTAATGAAAGAACCCGCCGTATGGCTGATACTCTACACGTGTGCACCACATAAAAGCGCACATACGCTTGTCTGCCCACCCCTAACAAAACCATGTCCACTCCAGCCAACCTCCCGCATAATACAATTCATGATTTCTTTTCTTCTTCTTCTCACCCTCCCCCAAACACCCTCCATTTACAGCCCGAAAGCCAAATACAGTCCGCTCAGAATACTCGACGTCCAGAGCGCCATCTCGCCCCTCTTGATGCTCGGCTTGGCGAAGCCCTTACCCAGGTCGAACCACAGGTGCCTCAGCCCGTTGATGAAGTGGTACGCAAAGGGGAACCCGAGGAAGAACTTGACGCCGCCCTTGACGGCGAACGGCAGCGTGGCAAACGCCGACGCGAGGCTCGCCGTCTCCAGGTGCCACCCGGCCAGCGGCGCGACCAGGTACGCCCCGAAGTAGACGTACGCGGCGGCCGACAGCGTGCAGCCCGTGATGCGCGTCCACGCCGAGTGGCCCAGCCACGTCTGCTCGATCTTGTAGATGCCCAGGTTGGGCGAGACGGGGCGCTGCAGCCGCTGCTTCACGAGGATCTGGTGCCCGTCGTCTTGGGAGATTTTGGCCGTCGCCACGGGTCTTGGGGGGGCAAGAGTTAGTAAAAATACCGTCGTTGCCGGATTGTAGGAAACGTACCGAGCTTGCATGCCGCCGGTAGCTGCTTTGATGAAGGGGACGAGGCTGGGCCGCGCGCCTGATGCCAATTAGTGGCCGTGTCTTTAGTTACGGGGAAGAGGAAGAGGAAGGGGCGTACCTCTGCGCAGGGCGGCGATGCCAACCCGCTGAGCAATCATTGTCGATTTCGGGAGTCCTGTTGGTGTTTTGTCTTGTCGGCGGGCGAGGGCGAGGGTTGGAGGAATCACGGCGGCTGCTTGGCCGTCGGGAATGGCTGCTTGGCGGGCAGCTCGGTTCCCTCGGTCCAAGGCGCCAATCGGGGCGCGCCAATTCCTCATCTGCGAGGCACGTGATTCGACTCGCCTATATGGATCACGTGGGAAACCCCCACTGGTACTCTAGTTGTGGTGCCGTGTGGATTGGGTTTTTTTTCTTCTCTTTCCTTTCTCTCCAGATAGTCACGAATGCTCGCTGCGCGCTGTCCTTACTGGAGATGGGACGGCGTGGCCGCACGGTCTTTGCGACTGAGGGGCTTTCGGAGAGGGATTTGATCCGTCGTTAATCTCGGCACCGGGTTCAGCTGTCCTGGTGCCGTTTCATTTTGAGATCTACATTTCGGTGTTGTGATTTTTTTATAACCTGAGCGTGCCGGAGATGCTCATTGGGTGATGTGAATGACGGCACGTGTGATATGTGAATTCTGTACTGGCTGAACGGTTGAATAGCCGATGGTGCCTTTCCTCAAGTTGATTTGCTGTCGTTGAGTCACGTCCAATTGCACTACCGCATCCGACAAACAGCATTATACTTGCGAGAAGTGATGACTAGTATTGCCAATCGGGACGTCCGCAGACGCCTGTAGTAGAGTAGTTTCCAATCGTGATATTGTACATATACCCGCGAGTGTCACGCCTCGTGGGAGCGGAGACGATTTCCCATTCCTCTCTGTTGCGCCCAAGAAACCAATGCCGCCTTTTAAATCATGTCATATTTCCCAAAACAATGTTACCCCCCCTCGACTCCTGCCATGCACCTCTATCGGAATTGCCCCCCGTTCATATTGTTAGAATTGTCGCCTATCAAGCTGCCGTCGGTTGCCGCAGGAAACCCGCCGTACCCAAACATACCCACCGAAAGCTGTTCCTCGGGATTCATCATGTCTCCAAACATGTCCCAGTTGACGCTGGACATGTCGAGAAGCCCCCCCAAGAAGGGATCTACATTTGCACCCTGTTGCTGCTGCTGCACGAGATTTTGTTGCGGCATCTTTGGAGTTTGCGCGCTCTGAAATAGTGCCGCGGACTGCCGTTGAGCGTCGTTTTGGCCGAATACAGGAGGGGTTGCTCCTGATGACTGTATTGAGGACCGGGAGTCGTATGAAGGTAGAAGATCTCGCAGACGCTGGATGAACTGCGGTGTTTCTAAATGACGACCAGCTTGCAAAAAGGCCTGCTCACGCAGTTTCCACCCCTTCAGTGTGATTTGGGCCTGGACGGAGTATTGCTTCTGCGACATGTCAAATAGTTCCGTGTGATAACCGTAGAGCCGCTCGACGCCCACCCAGCCGCGATCCGCCAAGCTGCCGGTAGGCCGTTGGCACAATTGCCCAGTCATGACGGCAAACACGTCGAGCTGAAAATACGACTTGACAAACCAGAGGAACCCACACTCGGTCATGGGCTGATACTGAGCCAGTCTCTGTTCGGTTCCTAGGACAAAAATCTTGAACAGATTGTCTTTGGGACCAAAAATCTCGGTGCCATACTCGGGTTGCTCGTGAATTGGCACCATCATGTCTTGAATCCTTCCCAAAAGCATCTGCCGGACGCCTTTCGCAGCCTTGTGCACGTTGCCGGCATTGTCATCGATGTATTTTTGTTCCATGGCCAGAAGGTTTTCGTCAAGCTCTCGACACTGTTGACGGAATTTGGCAAAAATGTTTTGATGCATGGCATTGGAAGCGTCCTTGTCTGGGCTCAGATCTTGTCCCAGGATGGCAGCCTCAAATGCCTGGCCGTTGTTGTTCTTGTCCGTATGCAGCTTGAACCTATATATTTCATTCATAACCATGACAAACGCCATTTCAGTGGGGCCGTCGCGAGGTTGTATTTTCTCAGTTGACCCTGGGAAGAGATCTGCGTCGTTGACGTTTTGTGGTGTCTTGGTATCCCAGTGTAGGGGCTGCAGGGACTGGCTGAGGCCAGATAACATGGCATACTTGGAGTCTTGGACGATAATCTGCCACCAAAGGCGGCGGCGCATTTCTGTCTCGTAAGGCTCCAGGCCAAGAATCTCGCCATCGCGGTGATATCCCATCTTTTGCGCAATGCGGACAACAGTACCAGTAAGCACCCATGCAGCATGACGATCATACCGTCCTTGTAAGCAGTGCTACTCCAGATATTAGTTTTCAGTACCAGGTGGCGATTTTGATGACAGAAACAGACGTACCATGAAATGAACCAGAGCCTGTAGAGCGGTCATGTTGTAGTTTTTCAAAAAGTTGAATCGTATCAAAGCTACTTTTGTTCCGGCCAGGAACTTTTGAATAGCTGACTCCCGGGACATGCCGAGTAGCTGGATGGACTCGGCTTCACTCAAGGAGACAGCTGCGCTCGTGTAAATAGACAAGACAAGTGCTTGCTGGTAATGTTGCAGGCTGGCAATGTTGGTGGCACCCTCCATGACCATTGGTTGGACGGTAGGGACGTGGACCACCTTGAACAGGGGATTTACACGCTCCAAGAAGAGTTGCCATAGTTTGAAGGCATGGATCGGATCTGGAACGAGATCCTCGATGTTGGCAGTGGAGAGGTCTCCAGGAAAAAACAAGTCGGTATTGTTCTCCGGGGTGAGCTCTTCTGAGCCAAGTATACTTGAGTCCTCGGGATCCTCCGTGTCAACAATATCTCGCATGGCTTGCAGCTATTCATCAGTCAGCACAAATCAGTCGGCTCAAGGGCTTCCCGGTCGCTACAAGACCACACGACGGTAGGCAGTCGCACAGCCAGGCTCGGTTTCATAGCACAATGGCAAAAAATCGTACCTCTTCATATACTGTGGCCCAGATATAGCTGTCCATAAACCGAACACTCCCATCGTCATTGACCATCCGACATGCCGGCTTCCAATTACTTGAGTTGTCCGAGCCCAAGGGCGTCGGTTCCGATTTATCCGACCTCGCAAGGTGGTCCGTTGCTGGTGTCTCGGTCTGTTGCGGCGGCGGCGGCGGCGGCGGCGGCGGCGGCGGCTGCTGACCCGGAGCAGAGCCATTGGCGTATTGTTTCAGCAGTTCTTCGCATCGCGCCAGACGCTCTTGAAGGTCCTGGTTGGGGCGACGGCGTTTGCGAGCAGGCGCCGGTGTGCTCGGAACACATGTGACGTTTGCCTAGGGCGGAGTGAGCTTGGAGTTCTTTGCAATATTCTGCCTCATCGAGGTATCCAGGCTCCCAGAAAGCGGGACCCAAGCAAACAGGTGGGATGAGATGGGGAGGATCCCCCCCCCGACCTTGCGGCGCGATGGCGCGTGCCGTACCTTGATGCAGTTGGAGCAAGGCGAGTTGCGATCGCATTTGATTTTCCGATGTTGGCAGAGGACGCACGCCAGAATTCGCGCATGCCTCTGTGGCGCCGCTGGCGAAACAGTTGGTGACATGACGGGGCCCGATTCTTGTCACATACCAGACGGAGCGAAGTAGAGGGCCTGGGAGGGGTAATCAATGGTCGCAAAAAGGATATCAATAGAGGTCAAGGACCAGAAACCAGTCTCGCAACGGGTTCTGATACTCTGTATAGTCTGGCACAAGGTAGGTGACACATATACCGGGTGGGAAAAATGCGACACAAGCTGACGAAGAAGTCGGTTAGAAGTCTGACGTGAGTGAAGCCAATCTGAAGGTGTGGCGAGGCGCTAAGGCAAAGGGATCCATGTACTCCGGCCGGAGACCTGGCTGTGCGGCGTGCGGCTGGGCGTCGCCTTGAAATGTCCGCTGACGACGGCGAGAGGCAGAAGGCAGGAGCGAGCGAGGGGCTGCACATGCAAGTTCGAGGGTTGGGTTTCACGGTGGAAGGGGGGGTTGTAAACATAAATGTACACTGAAGATCAACCAAGGTAATTTCACGCTTCCATGACAGAAACCAGACCCTTGGAGACGATTCCGCAACGAACGTGGCAGGACATGAGAATTCGGCTGCCTACTCACCTTTGAAACACTTGGGCGCTGCCTGATCCGTATCTCGAATTCGAGATCTCAATCTCTCAATCGCATGCTTGGCGACATGTCTCCTCCACCGACGTGGACATGTACGGCGGGGGTCCCCGATATAACAGGGCCTTGGAGGCAACATCAAGGCACATGGAACCCAGGCGGCTTTGGTGGATCCATGATATCAAAAATCTCCTTTTCTGCTTTGCATCCATCCATCAAGCGTCGAATACATACGTCAGCCACGTATGTCAGCCCGTCGCCAACTTAAAAAGGTGAATACGGCATCTCGACAGACTTTTAGAACGGATCGGCTAGGAACTGCGAGAAAATGAAAAAAAACCGGCCTGGGTCACCCGGTAGAGTCATCGGTCACGCGGCCTGAATGTCAACAGACCTGGTACGAAATGGGATCGGAAGCCAGACCCGAAAGCCAAGCAACCACCGTGAATGGTGGCTGAAGCCAGGGGCCAATCCCTCGGTCGCTCGACTTGGGCATCTCGTTCTGTAACGAGAATGTGACGCAACGGCACTAGACTGTTTGCCTAGTCTTTCCAAATGAAGCCTGGCCGTTCCGTCCTGACGCATCTGGTCTGGGGAACTGATAGGCGGAGCTTAGTATGACTCGACATCAGTGCCAAGCGCTTTTGGGGCTGCCACGACAACCCCATCAACTACGAAATCAGTCATCATGTTGCAATCGTGCTGCGGTGGACACGGCGTACGGAGTACACAATGCTAAGACGAGGCTTTGCGATGGAGGACCGAGATGGCTGCCTACTTGGGTTCTTGTGCGGAGATGACACCAGGTGGCTTATCAACCAGTTGCTGAGCAAACGAGGCCCCGAGCGGCTTTGGTGGACTTGTTGCGGAGGAGACAGGACGGTAGGGCTAGGAACTCCGCCAGCTACCAGATGGCATGCCCTTGCGGTTGGCTGCGGGAGATGCTCCGCTACTTGGCACAGACCGGCAGCATCGAGTTGCAAACTTTATTCAACGTTGAACATCTTTCAATCTTCTTTCTTCCAGTAAAGCCCCACTAGAACCGAGAGATTGATATGGAAACAACCCGAGACCAGTATGTCGAGCAGAGCTGGGCAAGGGGTTTGAAATTTTGTTGCCTTGAACAACCTGGTCCTGCTGCCTGGGCCAGGCATCACGGCGGATCTGTTGACCTGTTTCGAACAGTTGGAGGCGCCAAACATTGACCATCATTGCGTGTCATGGCATACATGTACTGTGACAGGCGAAATGGGTGTCCCCAGTGGCCTCTTTTGTTGAACAAGGATAGTAATAGCGGGGCTCCTGGATTTGAACTTCGTTCATCAGCATCCTAATGCAGTCAAGGACGCCATGGTCGGCCGACGCGTGGCTCTCGAAAGCGCTTTGCGATTTGCAAGTGACATTCCACGATTCATCGAATCACTACAAGGCGGCGATGGAGAATGATTCTCGTAGAAATGTTGTGATTTTAATGTACGTAGCTTTTGGCGGCAGTTCAAAGTTTTTTCGTTTTAGACTAGATTCACTATGCGATAATAAATCAGAGAACTGCAGTGTAACACGTCATCACTGCTAGCGATTGCTTGTGATACCTCAGAATCCACCCTCGGAATCCACACTCATTGCTTGTATGTGCAGAGGCGCTTGAGTCTTCAACTCCTCCGCGATCACCTGTCTTTGTCAAGCGCTTATCCGGCAAATGTGGCCTGTGGAACTGATGATCAAAGCTCCCTCTTCTACCCCAAATCAAGGGGGGCACATACCTCGGCCCCCTGCATGATGGCGAAGCCTCTCCATCGACACTAGCCATCTCTCCAAAGATTCACCAATTTCTCATCTAGCACTCCTTTACAAGATACCGAGCGACTTCAAGCGAAGACTCTGTTAGATTGTCGAATATTACGAGAACTAAACAGATATCACAACAAATAGTCCATATAACCAACCGAAACTCTTGCGCTTGACATGCGAATATGCCATCACAGAAGACTCCCAAGATAATGTTTTACGCGCTTTTTTTTTAACTCAATCGGCTTGCCAATGAAAGGAGATGTTGATTCATCGTGCAAAGAAACAGAAGCAAAACACGAGGCGAATGTTTCCACCATAAAGTTCGTGACTGTCTTTGTCCATGCAAATAACGGGAGAGTCAGACTCTAAGCCAACCTTTCTTGACTTTGGGCTATTTTCCTTCCTTATGCTATTGGTAGCTAGTTTTATTTGTCCGACAAAATCAACCTCTACTCGTTGTACTTTACTTACGCAGTCTCAAATATGCCGTCAGATGGCTTGTTTTACAACCACACACCCGCGAGCTGCTCGGAACAGCACTCGGCTCAACCAACACCTTCTCTCCTAGGCTACGAAGCTCATTGCAAAATATGGTGGGCAGGGTGTATCGACCCATGGTGAAATTTATAGTCTCAAGCGCCGAGACACAGCAGGCTCGGCTGTGACAACAGCTCGGAGGCTGGCTTCCAGTCTGGAAAACACCCGAAGCATACCTGGTAGAACCGCCGACACCTTTCCCCACCGGCAGGGCCTTTTTTCCAACAGTCTGGTTCTATAATCGTGCTCAGGGTATGGCAGTTGATGAAGTCACTACAAGTATGTGGCGCGGGTAAGAGTGTTTGTCACAACAGGCTCGAATGTTCTCTTGCAAAACGGCAAGATAGCCTAAACCAGATACTATCCATCGTGGATCCCCCCAAAAAAACGAGGCCAAGAGCAATGGAACTCAACGCTTCTTTTGAATGGATTTCAAATTTTCAACCCGAAAGACGTCGGAAGGTTACACACAGTGTCTTGGGGACAGGAGGCCGCATCCCCCCGTCAGAGTGTCGTCCATGTAAGGCCCAGAATATTGAGTCGCTGGGTAATCAATCGCTCATGGGAGTATGGAGGACCACACAAGCTAGCCAAAGGGGAGTAGGCATGGCCAGTAACTGTCTCTTGGTTCGTGCTATATATAGTAGTGTCGACCATGAACGCCGGTAGTTCGAACTGATGGCACTACTATATGGGTCAGTGGTCGAACTTGGTATCAACTGTGTCCAACTGCGAGGCCATGTTTACTAGAATGTAGCTTTCAGTATCATTGGGAAGATGTCTTTTAATTACGATAGCGTTTAGCGCCACGCCATTGATTCGCAGGGCTAGGGATAACTAGGTTCTTGAGAGCCGATCGGAGTGCAAGTTTGCTCTGGGATGTGAGAGTAGGCAAGGTAGTTGTTACAAACAAGGTCAGCGAGGCATGGAGCCAAAATGTTGGCGAGGTTAATCTCCTGATGCGCAGGAGACAGTTGGCTGCCGAGATCTTGAGGGATGAGTCAATCGACATGTTTGGACAAGGTTGGAAGGGATGGTGCTACCCCGTTATTGAGGCATGTGAATATGTATGAAGACGGCTTGGCAAACAGAAAGTCGTAAATTGTCATCACGATATACGTGGTGAAGGGCATCAATTGGAAAATATCGAGCCTATATCCGGGCTTGACGCTCGTGATCCATCAGGGTCGGCTGATTCCTTAGCCTCGCCCCCTTTTTGCGCATCAACAGCAACGAGGGCTAGTTTGGTCTTCTTCTTCACCGCTCGTCTATGCCCCACGCTCTTTACGTGCCTCTCCCATGCCTGCTCCGTCACTAATACCGTCCGACACATGTCACATGTTCTCTGAATCGGTGTCTCCTTGGGCCTCAACTCAAGCGCACCGCCGAGGACTTCTCTCGCCATTTCAGAAATGTCCACCGCCGCTGGCCGTTGCTCCCCTTTCAAAAACAACTCCGTCAGCTTCGCCGCCGGTTCGACTACATTCGTCTGAAGCCGAGACACGTCCGTGCTATCAACTAGATACAAGCTGCTGACTGCTTCAGGACCCTCATCCTGCAGCCGGCGCATTTGTTTGATGCGAATCCATTTCGTCTGGTAGTTTGCGTAACGTCTCGTTGCGGTCTTCATGTCTTCCAGGCCAGATAGCTTCAGCTTCTCGGCTTCCGTAGCATCTGCCCCTGCTTCGAGGGCGTTTAGATATGGTTCGAATTGCTTATAGCCTATAGACTGCCATATCCCCTTTGTCATGTCCATTTCTTGGCCTGTTTCTCTGGATTTTTTCTTGAAGGCGTATAGCTCATGGACCTCGTCTAGAAGCCCGGAATTGAGCATCTTGTCACACCGCGTGTCAAGGCGCTCGGTAAGAATTTGCCTGTCGGAATAGACCCAAAACAAAAGCTTCTCCCAGGGTGTGGCGGGGATGTCTCCGCTAGCAGCGGCCGCTTTGCGCGCCTCTTGCTCAGCATAGAACTGCGAGGCCGGCTTCCCTGTATGCAGGTAGATCTCTAGCGACCGCAGGATTTTGCGGCGGTCGTTGGGGTGCCACCTTTCTGCCATGACGGGATCGCATTTCCGGAGCTCTTCTAGGAGAACTTCTGTTGACTCTTCCAGAATGGGGAATGATGCGGATGGGCCTGTTTGCTGGACCTCATCGAGAATGACGTCGGTGAAGAGTAGAGGGTCGACATAATATTGTGTTCCACCCACGAGGATGGGCAAATTTCCCCTAGCGCGAATTTGGCCGATGACTTTGTTGGCCTCGCGCTTGTAATCATCCACGTCCCAGGGGAGATGGTGAAGGGGGATGTGGCCCAGGAGATGGTGAGGGATGCCTTTTTGCTCGGCTTGGGTAATTTTGTTGGTGATGATGGGGAGCCCTTTGTATAGCTGCATGGCATCCGAATTGATTATTTCTCCTTTAAAGCGGGTTGCGAGCTCTACAGCCAGCTGTATGACATGACGTTAGATGTGAGTACGAATACGCCATGCTGGTATTGAGGCGTGTATAACTTTTGAGTGTGTCTTGTCACTTACGTCTGATTTGCCTGTACCAGTTGAGCCCAGCACTACCAAGAGTGGTTCGGCCGGAGCTTTGCTATTCGCCATGGTTGAAACATTGCGCCAAAAGAGTTGACCCAGGCGACTGAGAATTGGCATCTGAAGCTTCCTAAGGGTCCATTGGCGGAGCTGCGCATGTAGTAATATATGACGCCGAGAAGCACTTTCAACTTGTGAGTGACAAGTTTTCAAGTTGCAGCACAAACTCCCAGTGACCCCACCCAAGAGTGCCTCCAGGCTAGAGGTTTGGGTAGCTCCTTCCCGCTAGGTACGTAGCCCACAACCCAATGATCGATGCGGCTAGGCTCTGGCTGTGGAGTCAGATCACGTGCCGTCCTCCAACAATTTTGGACTGGACACATCTACATTTTGGGACACGAGGCCTTGAAGCCAGATTGCCTACCTCCCTTTCCCAGTGCCATTTCGCCCATCATCTTCTCCTACCCACATATAGGGCTCGTTGCCAGCTCGATTTCTTTTCCTCTCTTTCTCTCCCTGGATGAATTAGTCTCGTCCTTTTTGTTCTTCGTCCCTTGTCCCCTCTGTCCTCGCAACCGCCGCCATGAGTTCCCGTAAGTAGTTGGATAATCCTCCTGTCTTCCCCCTCGCGACACGGTTGGGGCCAGCGGCTTTTGGAAATGGAGCTTGTGAGCTCTCCCAGACCCGATGCTCGTGCCTCAACAAGACCAATTGGCGCGCAATTGGTTTGCGACGACATGATGCTAACGCGCTCCATGATTGGACAGTCCGATTTCTTGACTTGGTCAAGCCGTTCGTGCCGTTCCTCCCTGAGGTCCAGCAGCCGGAGACCAAGATCCCCTTCAACCAGAAGATGATGTGGACTGCTCTGACACTTCTGATATTCTTGGTCATGAGCCAGATGCCCCTGTACGGCATTGTCTCGTCAGACAACTCCGATCCTTTATACTGGCTGCGAATGGTCATGGCCAGTAACCGAGGAACATTGATGGAATTGGGTATCACCCCCATTATTTCTTCTGGCATGGTCTTCCAGCTCCTTGCTGGCACCCACATGATTGATGTCAACCTCGACCTCAAGTCCGACCGCGAGCTTTACCAGACAGCCCAGAAGCTCTTCGCCTTCATCCTGTCCGCTGGTACCGCCACCGTCTACGTCTTCACTGGCCTCTACGGTCCTCCCTCCGACCTTGGCGCCGGCATTGTCTTCCTGCTGATTCTTCAGCTTGTTGTTGCTGGCATGATCGTCATTCTCCTTGATGAGCTTCTCCAAAAGGGCTACGGTCTTGGCAGCGGCATCTCCCTGTTCATCGCCACCAACATTTGCGAGTCCATCATGTGGAAGGCCTTCTCCCCTACCACAATCAACACTGGCCGTGGTCCCGAGTTCGAGGGAGCCGTCATTGCCCTCTTCCACCTGTTGATGACCTGGCCCAACAAGCAGCGCGCTCTCCAGGAGGCTTTCTACAGACAGAACCTGCCCAACATCATGAACCTCCTGGCTACCATCTTGGTTTTCGTCGCCGTCATCTATCTCCAGGGTTTCCGCGTCGAGATCCCCGTCAAGTCTTCCCGCCAGCGTGGTGCGCGCGGCTCTTACCCCGTCCGCCTGTTCTACACCTCCAACATGCCCATCATGCTGCAGTCCGCTCTGTCCTCCAACGTCTTCCTGATCAGCCAGATGCTGTACTCACGCTTCTCTGAGAACCTCCTCGTCCGTCTTTTCGGTGTCTGGGAGGCCTCAGATGGCTCTGCTCAGCTTCACGCCGTTTCTGGTATCGCCTACTACATGTCTCCTCCTCTCAACTTCAAGGATGCCCTTTTGGACCCCATCCACACCGCAGTCTACATCATCTACATGCTCGGCGCCTGTGCTCTCTTCTCCAAGACCTGGATTGAGGTCTCCGGCTCCAGCCCCCGCGATGTTGCCAAGCAGCTCAAGGATCAGGGTCTTGTCATGGCTGGCCACCGCGACCAGAGCATGTACAAGGAGCTGAAGCGTATCATTCCCACTGCTGCTGCCTTTGGCGGTGCCTGCATTGGTGCTCTTTCTGTCGCCAGCGATCTCATGGGTGCTCTTGGCTCCGGAACCGGTACCCTTCTCGCTGTCACGTAAGTATCTAGCAAAGAACTACCCCGCAACAATCATGAAGACGTCAATTGAAGCTAACACTGACCCAGCATCATCTACGGATACTTCGAGATTGCTGCCAAGGAAGGCGACCTTGCTGGCATGAAGGGCATGATCATGGGCTAAGTTACCGATTGTTCAAGACATCCTTGAACAAAACCCCAAGGCAGATGCATTTTCTCGTCCGAGAATGCCCTCTCTTATTGTAAACACAGCTTCTCTGTGCCCGATAATTAGGGGGGAAGAGCCGGCACATTGTGTAACAACATTTCACGTGTCAAGAACAAAACAAAATTGGCAGGTTAGGAGCATACTATAAATACAAAAAAGAGGCATTCATCTTGACTTTCTTTTTCTTTTTGCAACTTCAGCGAAATTCGGGGAGTCTGGGATGCGAAAACGATTACAAAATCAGTATTTGGACATGGCATCAGGCGATGGGCAGGTTGGGCTTGTCTTTTTCTTGGAGCACATGAAGATGGATAGCGTGGCAATATACCGTGGTTTTTAGCAGGTCCATAATCATTGTGCATCCGAAACGAGTGATGCAGAGCTGGACAATTAAAAGTATTGAGATGCGTAGGACCATGGAAGAGTGATTACCCTGTACCTGGTAGAGGCCAAAATGATGCGAGGTGACTCGCTCGTTCTAGTCTCTTCAATGCTGTGTATGTGATTCGCAAATCTACTGTGACAAGAGTGCAGAAATGTCTCACGGTTCGGATCACGATACTGACTATAGAGTAATGCAAGACGATTTAACAGGAACAGTCGGGTATTCGTCACATGGACGGGTATATGAGCTGCTACTTGTGCCACGATTGGCAAACGGAAAATAAGATGCAGGGTAGTGCCACACCAGCAGGGTCTTGGACGCACAGAAGTTCTGTGGCTTGAGCACAAATTAACTGACTGCACTCATTATTGGTTAGATGATGTTAGTATTTGCACAAGCGTTGGCACACTCCATTTAGCAGTGCGTGAATCACTGCGCGGAGTTGGGGGCGCCGATGGGAGAGGGCGCATGTGGTGTTGAGCAGAGGGAGTCATACGGTGGACGGAAACGCGCTAGCTGCACGATGAAAGATGGGATTGGTAGTTCAGAGATTGAGATTCCCGAGATCACATCGTTCGCTTCTGCGGCGCTCAGCTTAGGTGATGGCAACGTTTTTTTTTTGATGAAGAACCACGCCCTTGGGATACATACTCCACTGTCGCCTGCCGACTTTTGGATTCGAGGGATCGGACATGGCATTTGGCCGGATTACGTTCTTGATCCCATGACCGGTTTTGCATTTTGCGCCGTGTCGCGTCCGAGCTGCACTGCGAGATAACACGGACGAAGCAGCATGTGCAGAAGCAACCGCGCGCTGATTCGTCTGGGAAAATAATGTGGTGGCTCTAGATTGATACCGAAAAAAGAGCCTCGCGGTACTCCGTACTCCGTACATGCGTTGTGCGCCATTGTACCATTGATGTTTTACGGAGCACTGTACTCCCAACCCAAGGGTTTGGCACAATCCATGAACCCAGCAGTCTGCATGGTGGCTCATTTTAGCCATGACTCTGCAAACTTTCGCCAAGGCGAAAACGATTTTTTTTTGATTAGCGTCTTCCAGACATGAATGACGTTTTGCATTCGCGCTAGTCGGCGGTATCATCGTTACCATGTATCAACCGACACAATGATGCCGCGGGGAAGCTGCCGGAGGTGAGTGTGGTCGCCTGTCAGTTTGGCCGGCTGTCTTCACAAATGATAAATGACTTCATTCATGGCCCGAGTCTCTAGGCCAGAGGCTGGCCTTGCCGGGTACGTCGTCCGACTTGGTCCCCGGATGGTGGATACAGCAGCCAGTTGGTGGGTTTTTGCCTGGCGAATGTTGATAGTTGACAGGACGGACTGCCAAACCTTGCTGGACGTGGACAAAACTCATGCGGGTCATGCAGTGGGAAAGACAGAACCGAACCAATATTTTTGCCATGGAGCATTCGCGAACCCTCCCCTCGTCCTTTGGAGCAGCGAGAACGCTCAGTCACTTTTTTGTGTTAAGCCAGTCGAGCTCAATTACAGCATCGTCAGTCTGCTTTGGGCGACAAGGCATTTCTAGCAGCCGGGTGTTGAGAGGAAAAGAGAGAAAGCCTATAGCACTAGTCTCTTATTAGATTTCAGTTCTTTTTACAAGATAGCCTGTGATAGTTTGGGAAGGGAAAGCCAACATCGTGAATCCGCACGGATTATTGCACACGATAGGTGTCGGACCAAGAGGTAGCAAATCGGCTCCAGTATACTCCGTAGCTGATCTCGACAGCGGTCTTGTCCTCCATGTTAAGACGGCTGTATGTGTGTATCTCCGAGAGGGTGGAGATGGATATAGCCTTTGCACAAGCATAGGTTCTTGGGGAAACCGCAGCTAGAGAGCCACTCACCCAGCGGGAGAGGAAATGTTGAAAGGTGACAATACAATTAGTAATTCTTAAACAGCCGTAGGCCCATTCAGATGGCGTCCAGCCGCACGCACACGAGAGCAGCCCCGGATTCAAAACATGCATTTCCAGTTCCACCTCGATCTTATTTGAACGAGCGCAATGTTCGACTTCATCGTGGGGAGGTAGTTCCACTGTCGATGGCGCCGTTGGAGCATGGCATGGCATGGCATGGGAACGGTGCGGGTGGGCTGCAGCGGAGGCAGTTGTGCAGCCTGCCGCTACAAATGCATGGCAGGACTCGACTTGGTGGATTTTCTCCCATGTTGCCTCTTCATGGTTTGAAGAACTTGGTTCTGACCGCTAGTGCGATGGATCACTTTGCGAAGCTGGCTCTCTCTCAAAGCAGCCTTAACCGAGAGGGCCGGCGTCTCGATAGTACTAGTAGACTTGGGGTACAGACGAGTGCATAAATTGTAATAACTGTTGTCTTGGCCCGTCAACCGTCCAGCATCGAGCTGTACGAAACATCCCGTATGCAAATCATTGACGAATCTGGCGTATATTACTCAGCAGCTTGGAGGCAAAGACGCAGAGTATCGTGAGGGAGTAGCCCTACTGGGACGTTCCTACTGGGACGGCTGATGATGACAGGTACCACGGCACCGAATTTGAGCACAGTCGTAGATTCTTATTGGATTTGCGTCCTGAGTCCCTGGCTCTGGTGAGCTCCTGAACGACATCATCGGTGACTCTCGGACTTTTGGTGCGACGTCAAGAACATGGGCCAACTGCAAACCCCACTGCAATCATTGCACCCTGGTCCAACCTGCAGCACCTAAAAGAGACGAAGACAACTGGACGTCTTCCATGTTGCGTTTTGCTTCCGAGATGACGGCGGATGTTGTTGTTGTTGTAGTCGTCGTCGTCGTCGTCGGGTCAAGGAGCGAGGACAGTGCGTGTCGGGCTATGTGAAATGGCCTGACTGTATCCATGTCTATGTCTGAAAAGGACCGGAGCTGGGAGCTGGGAGCTGGGAGCTGGGCCTTACCTAAGCGACATCGAGATCTCAATCTGCCGTCCAAACATTCAAATCCTCCGGAGTACGGAGTACCAATCACTACCTCCCTGTTGCATGAGGTACCGAGCCAAATCGTAGGTACATAGGTACTTGAGTAGGTAGGTACCTGGGACAGGGCGGCAGGAGACATGGCGCATGCCTGCCGTTTATGAATCTGGAAACATGGCAACGAAAACACCAGCTGAGGCCACTCGAGCCCTGTCGCGGTTCTTCATGCTGCACCAAAACATCGCCAAAACATGATCCAGCTTGTATCTCGTACCCCTTCCTGCCCTCAATCTTTTCGAGTTGAAGGGCTGAACAGGTTTGCCATATCGCGCTAGCCCAGGACCCAGAGCCAGACGCCAATTCATCTCCACCGCTGCCCCTCCCACAACCACACCCGTTGCCGACTCGACACGTCCGTCACCTATGACTCCTTGACCGAAAGTCACTGGCTTCGCACCGTTCTTCACCCCAGTCCAACTCCCCGGGGCTCGCAAGTCTCGTGCATTTATGCTGGTTGCTGCTGCAGCTAGGCGGGGACAGCTCTATCGGGTTAATCCTCGAATAACTACTAATACTACCTAGTAGTAGTTATTCACCCTCGACACTCTCCCTCTGTCCACTGCTTCTGCTTGAACAAGTCTGGTGGTCTATTCCGGCTCCATTCTTACCACCATTATTGGAGGCTGATGCCCTTTCTCTTCCCATTCCAATTTCTATTTCCCCTTCCCCCTCCCTTTCTCCCCCCCGAATAGCCTCGCACCCTTGCTCTCTCCTGGCCTCCTCGCGCCCCAGCTCCATTGGGTGGCATATGCAGCATTGACAAGAAAAGGCGGCAGTTCTCGACATTTATCTCTAGCTGGTGCTAAAGACAGGCGGCTGAGCGCAAACGAGAGCCCGGTCAAAGCGTCCGAGGTGGGTTGAAAAAGACCGAGTTGACACCTTGTAATACAGAATATTGCCTGCTTCTTGCTTTTTTTCTCGCGTCCCGTTCATCACTGCTCGACGTCGACGAGAAGTCTAAGACAGCGACGACACACACCCCCCACGCCACCCGCCGACGCCGGACTTTGCTCAGTCGACCACTTGCTACACACCTCGTCAATTCCATTGCCACGCCAAGCCAAGATTAGCGCGTGCCTTCGGAAAACAAAAGGTTTTCCTATCCTTCTAAAGCCCCTTTCACACCGACGTCCTGAATTCACACAATCGAGGCGGCTAGGCTCTTTTCCCATCTCTCATATTTTTATTTCCTCCGCCACCACTGTTCTGCCTGCAGCGTGCGCGGCTGAGTGCGTGTCTGCGCACGAATGAGAGCTGAAGCGGCCACAACCGGCACACTACCTGGCGCTGCCTCTCCAACCATGGGCTTCGCTCAATGCACTTGGCCAATATGGCGGGTTGATGACCTCACCTTGTGTTTTCGACAAGAGTACGTGCAGTGACGCATTCCCGAACCATCCGTTGGGTCAATCCATCTCGAGAAGAGACTTGTTAACATTCGCGTAGCTATCTCAAGGTTCTCCTCCCGTTAGCGGTCATTGTCGTCTCGTTTTTACGTCTCGCCTGGTCAAACATCGGACGGCTGGTTTCATCAGGCAAGCCCAAGGGCTACAAGCCCATTGCGAACGACCAT